TTAAGAGACAGAACAATAAAGAACTTACAAGCAATGCAAATGAAATGCAGTAAGGTAATGATAAGCTTGACATAAAATCTTACATAACACCAATCATATGACTATGATACATCTGATCTTACCCCGAAGGAATATTTTGAGCCCAACATTCAGTTTTATCCCTCCACCTTGAACCCCTGTTTGAATCCTGGATGAGATCGATTTGTCATTTCTGTTAAGAATTTCCACAGCTAAGGGCCCTGAAACGATGCAACACAGAATGACTGTTAGCTTGATTTCTTAAAGAAAATAATATTTGAGTTGAAGATTTTGATATGAGTTGGCGCAATAGAAATTCACAGTACAATGGGAAAAAGTGAAAGCAACAACACGTTACCTAAAGGAGTCCCAGCAGGAATAACGGCATGTTGTGGCAAAGCATTCCCATCAGGCCATGTGACGCACAGCTTTTCTGGCAACCTGGAAACAAAGCGATGATCCCGGTCACATTTCAAGACTACTTATTTAGAAAAAAAAAGAGTACAATGTAAAATTCAAGAAAAATGTCAAATAAAAAGTTCAGTCTGGGTATAATTAAATCAGTATATTTCATGTTTCTCTGCAAACATTTATTTATTATATACTTAATAATATAAGACTTATAATATTTAATTTTCTTGCATACATTTTTTTACACTAATCAGGAGCAATTGTAAAACATTTTGACTTTCCACAAGAATTAACTTACTTGTCAATGTCGCTCTCGATGTTTCTCTTAATGCTTTCAATTGTAGCAGACCGGTCAATCTTAGAGATGGGTATAGTCCTGGTGTAACCGTCATAAAGCGCCTCTGGCACCTAAGAAAAATGTGATAGGTAAGGTAATTTTATTTATATAGCACATTTTCAGCAACAAGATCAAGTGATATAAATTTGATCATGTTAGAATGGTTTTATTTAATTATAACGTAAAGCTATCGGTTTCCCTAATACCGTACATGTATTTATTTTAGCCCAATCTAACATAAAACATGTAAATTAACGCCACATTGAAGAAAGCTAAAAAATATAAAATATTTAGCAAAAAAAAAAAAAATTACATCAGTATTGACTAATAGCCCAGTTTACACAAATTTGTCAGTAAATTAAAATGTATTTAAAACATAAATGCATTTATGAGAATAAACTTGAGGGGTTAAAGCATACATGCAAGTTTCTTCACAAATCATTTATCACAATTTAAAAATGTTCTAATTTAGTCAGTAACAAAACTCTACAACATAAAAATAGCATGAAGAACATCTTGACAGTAAAAGGTCCAGATCATATGTACCCAATGCACACCAGCTTATAAACTGAAAAAGTGCAACTTAATTAAGAAGCAAAAATTTCACTTGAACAAAATATTTCTTTGTTTTTGTTTGACAGATAGTTCACAGCTGTCATTTAGCTTTTTCAAACTGCATACATTATTTTACTTACACGCGTGATTTCCACTTCTCCGCCGGTGGCAAAAACATTTCCTTTATGGTCTCCATACAGGAAAAATTTATTCACTTTGCCGTAATAAATCGGCTGAGTTCTCTGAGATTTCACCTGAGTTAAAACATAAAAAATATTAAAGGTAGAAGCCTACAGTGGAAAACAGGAATTTATATAGATTTAAGAAAAAATTATTATCACTGTCTGACAATAAATCTGACAAAACTTTTCATTTCTTAGGTCAGTTAGTGTTATCAAAATTATCTTGCTTTGCTAAATGAAAAAAATATTGATGATTTCAAGATTTTATTTTCAATTTTCCTTATATTTAAAACTTTTACAGTATCTTTTTAAATTATATAACAGGAGTCAGGGTTAAGATATCTTTCTCTCACAAAAGTTTGCAAATTGTAAAATTCGTCTTGACAGAATGGGTGATAAAGCCTGTGGGCTGCAGTACTCTGCCTACAAACTTCTCTACTGAGAGCAGGTATTTTCTGATGGCCACTAAAAAACATTGAGCCTATTGTCTTTAATGTTGCAACTATATTGGTGGTATGATAGAGTCACGGTGCATTTGGAAGTCGCATGTGTGTCCGAGCTTCAACTTCCTGACTTGTGTTATAAAGCATTAATTCAGCAGTGTCACGTTTTCTTCTTTCCCCATTCTGCTATCCATTTTATGACGTGCACCAGTCCTTTCTTTAGTAAAACACACTCACAACGCGATGTTGCCGCCTGTATACAAATACAAGCCATGTCTGTAGAAGAAAAGATCTTTGTTTTGTGTTTCTTTGCATATTATAATCAAATTATAATGGGGTGTTGGCGCATTTCATGTCTGTACAGGCCTTCTTTCACAGGGCTCAGCTGTCGCTGGTAAGAGTGACAGATATTTCCTCTGTCACTCTTACCAGAATATTTACAAGCTCTTTTTTTGGTTTGTTTGTTTCTAGGGCTGACATACACATTTTGTTCTACCGACTTTATAATACAGAATTGACAATATGATGGCTTGAAATTCCAGTGGCATGTAAACTTGCATATATTTCTTTGAAATTATGAAAGAGGCACCGTAAAGCTTCTGGAAAGAAGGGGAAAGAGGAACCAGACTTGCTTTTGATTACCTATGACACAGCACAGAAGCAGTGTGTTTGATCTTAGTGTATGTACATTTCAATAATCGGAGAAAGTAAAACTGCATCTTCCATTTCTGGCATTTAGAAAATAAAAACAATTTTGGCAATCCTAACTCACCTAGAGTAGAAAAAGTATTTAATATAGCATCAGAGAGTGAGAAAAATGTTTGTATTTCCATCTGAATATCTACACTGAAATATGTACAATTAAATATTAATGTTAAAACACTTACAAGATCCCCTGCTTTGTATGTTTTGCCATCCAATTCAATAGCAGAGAACACCGCCCAGGGCTGCTGCATCTTCTTAGTGGACACATCAGTTCGTGTCACAGTCTTTGAATAGCCGAGGAACTTTACCTGCTTATCAAACTGACTGTGACATTTTTCAAGCCACTGCATGAACTCTTTCTGGATGTTTCGATTTTTTAAGGCTTTCTGTAAAATTCACAGTAAAAACCAGAAAAAAAAGCATTAGAGAAGCACTATATTTTTCACTATAAACACTACTGTATTTTTTTCCTGTAGCTCAGAGAACCTACTTGAAAATACTTCTGAATACTGAACAAAAATTAAAGTTGTCATCTACTCTGGATCTTCAGAATCAGAACCGAACAAGTAGAATACATTTTTGTGTTCCACTAATCTGAAGTAAACATGCAGAAAACTCCAAAACTGTTCAAACACTTTAAATCAAAACCTTAAATCCATTTGTTTAGTTACCTTTGATTAGTATTTGGTGAACGTAGATTAATTCTTGTCTGGGTTGAAAGTTTTAATCATTTTTCTTTATTTCACACTCTAGTGGAATGTTTATTGTTTTTCATTAAAGCACTTTGAAATCCCTTGTTGCTAAAATCTGCTATACATGCAAACTTGACTTAAAACACTGAATCATCACCTGAACGTTAAAAACAGGGGTGAAGTGGGTAACGCTGTGCCTCAGTTTCAGCTCCAAGTCCATAAACTTCTG